CTTTAGTGACCCCGGGCCTACAGTCTACAGCTCATCTACAACTCATACAGCAGCAGTATTATTCACAGTAATATGTCAGCTCTCCTCAGAACTGTAAAGAAATCACCAGCAACAATAGTTTGCAATCTGGCATTACAAACTGTACGGGGAGCAGCAGTGAGACTGTACAGGAACAGTGGTGGTTCTTGACCATTTGAAAAGGGGGGCCCGGCTGCGCCCACACATGATTTCATGGGTACCACGTGTATTAAGCTAATCATATTTATTTTATTGGCACTGCTGGCAGCGTCTGGAGGAATCCAGCGATGTGCAATGAGCAGAAAGCAGAGAGGTGGCAGGCCGATCCGTGGTTGGTTGGGTTCATACAGTCCTATGGCAGCCAGAGAGACACCTTTTTTTTTACAAAGCATTTGATGTATTGATTTTTTTCCGATGCCAGTGAGCATGGCCCACCTAATTTCGGTAGCTTTGCGGCCTTCTCATCTTGTTCTTTTTTCTCTCGCCTTTTCCTGCTTCCACTCTTATGCTTAAAAGGCATTGCTACACGTTCAGTTGTGTTGTGCTCAATGAACTGCGTTGTCGTGACCTTCGAATTGGTGTAACTATAGCGTATTTTATCGTCACATGATCAAATAGAGACTTGACATTGGACAACAACATACAAAAAATACCAAAGAAAATAAGAACTTATTCATTTCATTAAATAGTTTTTTGATAGTTTCTATAATATATGTAGGATAAGCATATGATTTCGGTATAAATTGCTACTTTTCCCCAAAAATAATAACCATGACTGAGATAAGTTTGCCTTTTAAGGTGTATAAATAACATTTGACACTGATGTTAGTTTATTAACAACGTGTAGTTGAACACAAGCATATCGGAGAGAGAGTATAGCGTTGAACCGAGGGCTACGGGCCCAGGTGCAGCTGCACCTGCTGCGCCCCCTATAGCTACGCCCCTGCCTCCAACTAGAGCCACCTACAGTTACTTGTTGCAGTGTTGATTTCGTCGACGAAAACTATGACGAAAAATGTTCGTTAACGACCTTTTTTCCATGACTAAGACGAGACTAAGACGATCTTAAAAAATAAAAACTATGACTAAATCTATTCTAAATTCGCTAACAGACAGGCAAAGTACGGCCCGTACGGCGGATATTAACGTGTCATGATGACGTCATCCACGAACCCAGAACGCTCGCTCACATCGGTGCAGCGGTGGTTCTTGTGCACCGACTACGGACCGCGACGACTATTTTACGCTTTGGTGAGTTTGAATGTGCGTTTCCTTAGTTTAGCTCAGCTGTCTCCGTTTAGCTGACTGTTAGCAGGCTGAAGCCGCGCTGCTTCACAGAAAGATGAAGACCCGTTTAACAGACTGTCAGCCAGCAGAGATCCACGCGGACTTTTCTGCTCTGTTCTCTGGCGACGGAGGGCAGCGTTTCCTCGGCTGGATGAGACGGTCCGTTACAGGCTTCTCCAAACACGTCTAACATAATAAACTCATTGCAGGTTCTGAAGCCTCACGCATCGACCGTGAGACACACGCATTTCAACTATAGTTCACACGCCATATCGTGAGAAGACGGTGTTAAACCGTCTCGGCCACCGTACGTTCGTTACTAAGCAACATAGAGGCGCCAACACACGTGACAGGTGGATCCTTTTGATAGAACTGCGCAGTGCCGGTGAAGGATGTGGCGGGACACAGAGCAGATGGAGGAAAACCTGCAGGACACAAGAGAGAAGAACTGGTCATGAAAACAACAAATAAACAAAAACAGACTGTTGAATGAAAAGTGGGGGTCCAGTTTAGAAAGGCTGGTTTATGATGCAGCCAAGAAAATAATGTATTGCACCGATTGTAGGACGTTAAGGGGTCTCTTTTGTTGGGACAAGCAATTTCACAGTGGAAACAATAAAGGACCATGAAGTTTCAAAAGCATTGCAAGTAAACAGACAAAGACAACAAAGTGTTGCGTTTAGATCCCTGGTCCTCATGAAGTTGTTACACCTGTGCCAATTTGTTAAATTGCCTTGCAAATAAAGGCTTTGCTATTTGTTAAAATCCAAATCCTTTCATGTAATGATTTTTCACATTTATATTATCTCACAAAACACTTTAACCATTTGTTCTTGGCCCGGCTCCTCCATCAAATTTTACAACCCATTGTGGTCAAAAGGTTTGCTGACCCCTGCTATAGACCTGTCCCAGGAGGGATATCTGGAGGCTGTTAGGTGTGCCGTGAAAAAAAAAACATTTTTTACATACTGTCACTTCATTGGTGAAAAAGAAAAAGAGCCAACTTGTGTGTGTGTGTGTATAAAGGTTCAGTACTCCCCTCTGCCTGTGGGTGGCAGTACGCAGCGTAATTAATAGGCAGATTTGCTGAGGTGACAATTAAAAAAATGCTTCTGCGTCGTTGCGTCAACGCACTCGTTTCAATTCATGGTTCTGCGTGTGTTGCAGAGCAATTCACCGCCAGAAAAACAGGCGGAGTAACGTGTTTTTGTTGAAGACGACCTAGAGAGTCACGTCTATTTATTTATTTGTTTATTTATTTATCATAGACTTTATTGCCCCGTGCATCGGCACTGCTGCTTTTCATCGCGGACACATTTGTCCCGTATTTTCCTCCACAACTTTGTTCCTCTCGACCGGCAAACCGGCGTTTGCGGCGATCTCCCTCCGTGAATCCAACCCGCGGGTAGAAGAGCGCTTCTATAAGCGGTCATATTTACGCATTTCTTCCGACAAAAGTTCTTAAATCTGCTCCGTTCTCTAGTAAACATTATTGGTTTAAATAATGGCGGTATCGGGCTATGAAAGCGGAAATGTGAGACTCCGTAAAGGACGTAGTTAGCGGACCAATCGCAGCCTGGTGCGCTGCGGGAGGCTTGCGTTGCTGACGCAAGCCTAGAAAAATGTCTTGACACACGCAAGGAGGTGTGAAAAGCGACGCAAGGGACACGCAAGGGGGTCTTGCCTGGTCCTGAGAAGGGAAGAAAAGGAGTTTAATATAGCTATTAAATGTGACCAGGGCTGTAGTGGAGGGTAAACGCACGTAAACGCCGTTTACGCACCTCTGGAATTTGGAAATAGCGTTTACGCACCTATAAATAGCGTTTACGCACCTCAAAGTTCCCTGCGCCTTGTATTCTTCCGTTGGAATAACCCGAAATAAACTTGGTGTAATTTTAAAACAGCTAAGACTACATTTCCTATTGTTGAATATATAAACGCCGTAGTCTGAATCGTTTTCATCTGCGCTGTATTACGGTCTGTGAGCATCCAATCAGTGCCTTGCGGCTGCAGCAGCGACGCCAAACAGGATCCAGGAGGTGTGTAAACACACGTTGTGGATCAGCCCAGTGGTCCCCAACCTTTCTTACCTCACGGACCAGTTTCATGTCAGACAATATTTCGCGGACCGGTCGAGAAGGTCCGACGGGGGGGGGTAGTAGTCGTTGCGGGCGGAACCACCGACGGGGGGGGGAAGTAGTCGCGCGCTCTGTGTTCGCTGGTCGTGCGCGGTCAAAGAAAAACGGTGACGCGTAGATTAGAAAACAAGTCAGTTCTCAATGTGAAAAAAAACATGCTGTATAGGCTATTTATGATGACATAGGTAGTACATGGGTGTTCCTTTAACTTATGTTGTCAGTGTAATTGACAGGCTGCTTAACTGGTTAACTCTTAAATTCAACATATTTTTTCAGGCAGTGATAGGACAGGCAATGATGCAGAGAGCACAGGGAGAGGAGAAACACCAGGTCGAATAGAGAGAGGAGAAGCACAGAGGAGCCATGGCTCATGGTTCATGGCTCCTCTGTGCAAGGCAGGACCTGACGTGGAGGACAAGGAGGCCCTCTGGGCACTACTGTAAAAAGGAGACTCCATATGTAGATAGTTCTTAATCTGCAATTGTCTTGTTGTGTTGTGTTGACATACTTTTCTTTACTGTTTTCTTAGATTTAATAAACTACAAACTACTAACACATTTATTCATTGTCATTGATTGTATATGACTTTTACTGATAACATAATGCAATATAGCCAGGACAGCCTTACAGAGTCGCGACGCTTTGTGTTGCGTTGCTTCGCATCGCGTCGAGGTCTGTATGATCACAAAATTCAGAGTTTACCCACCTCTAATTTTACCACTACAGCACTGCCTACAGGTATTTATGCCAATGCGTAAAGGTATGAAAGTTAGTGTCCACACCTCTGGGAGTGGTCTTCTGGTGAGTTCATTGTAACTCGGATTTCGAATGAGCCTCAGTCAATACCAGTTGTTGTGCAAGTATTGCATGCATGCATTCCAGTTGATTACATTACATTAAATACAATCATAGCTGTACATTGGTGTTATTCTATTACAGCTGCAGAATTACAGTGGTTTTACAACATTGTCATTACTTTATTGATTACACAGTTTCAGACTCATGGCTGTATTGTGGTGCACACTATATGCATTTTATTAGTTTTATGAACCGGGTCGTCAGTTTATTTCTAATATCCTACACTGTCTAAGTGGACTTTGATGACCAAGAGGTGAGAAAGGAGGAAAAATACTGTTGTGCAGATTGTGATGCCCTCTGAGGTAAAATTGAAATGTGTTCATTTAGGCTATATAAAAAATAATTCAAAACCTTCGGATGTTTGATAAAACATCTATTTCAGAGGGAGCTCTGAAGTTGTGCTAAATCTTAATAAATACAAGACAATAGAATTCTAAAAAGTATGAAAGTAAAAATAATAACCATGAAACTTCTCAATTATATTATTTTGCATCAGACTATTCTGTTTTGTTTGTTATCAGAAATGTTTTAATATGCAAATTGAAACTACTGCTTGCTTTTGGTATTGTGTTTTGTGGAAGATACACCAACAAACAGAAAATGGATGAAAAAATGTCATTCATAATTACTCAATTGGATCTTGAACATTAAAGTATCAGTTTTATGTCAATTTAAATCAGATTTAAATAAAACTAATGATCAAAAGCAATGATGGAATTTATTAAACAACAGTGCAAAAGTTAAGACAAGGAGCAGGAGTTGGTGGTGAAGGTGGAGGAGGAATAAGCATCTCTGGAACATGGCTCTTGTGGTAGAAGGAATGATCCCGGCTCTCGATCAGCTCCTGGTACATCTGGACGTGTGGAGTCCAACAACAACTGGAGAAAACCACAAAAAAATGTCTTAAGTCACCAGGCATCACCAAAACACCCTCAAATTATGAAACCAATGCCAATTGAAGGAGTGTTTAAATTCATAAAGTAAACAGACTTTCTAAAATTTTAGGTCTTTCATTTCATAAAGAGTTTACTCCAGGTATTTTATAAGACTCAAATATAAAACATCCTTTTTTAACTAAATGACTTCTACAGGATGATCACTCTGCTACGCATCAGCCTGATGTCACTAATTGAGTTCAGACCAGCAGGAGAAAGCTGAGCTCTCTTTGGTTAATGTTGTATCGGAGGACGTACAGTTGGCTGGCAGATAGTTCAGGCAGAGTTGTAGGTGCACGGTGATGGTTGTATGTGGAGGTTTATGCTCTAGCGATCTTCAAGGATCTTCAGGTGGAGGCTTCCACAGGTAAGCAGAGGCTGTGCAATCTACAGGTGGAGGATGCAACTGTGGGTTGCTGGCAGAAGCTATTTAGGAGGAGGTTCGGTTGCAGCTGGGAGAGGCTTCAGGTGTAGCATCGCAAAGGATGCAGGCGCTGGAGCACGTTGAATTCTGGCTCAATGGGAGTTGTGGATGAAGTCTCTCAGGAGTAAGACAATTTAGAGGTCGTAGGTGGAGGAACGCCAGGTGCCAGAATCCGCAGGTGGAGGGAACAAATGTAGATTCTGGCAGAGGCTGTAGTTGAAGATTTGAAAGGCAGCACTCTGCACAAACTGCCGGTGGTGGTGAGCAGCAGGTTTTGCCAGAGGCAGGAAGGTGGACGCTTAGGTGACGACAAGTAACTGTAGGTGGCTCTAGGTGGAGGTTCGGTTTCAGCCGTCTGCCACAATCTACTGGTGGAGACGGTGAATGGCAGGTTTGTGGTAGAAGCTATTTAGGTGAAGCTTTGGTTGCATTTTGATGAGGTTGGACACATGGATGAAACATCAGCAGCTTGTGGCATCTGACAAAGGCTTTACGTTGAGGCTTCAAAGGCATCTTTATACAAATGTCTTCCAGCATACTACAGTTAGAGGCGGTAACTGCAGGTTGCGGCGGATGCGTGAAGGTGGAGGTTTGGGAGGTAGAGTTAGGATTCATCGGTATGTTCAGGTGGAGGCGGCATATAGAGGTAACTGGCGTAGGCCATGATGGAGGCAGCTACAGCTGGAGGCAGCTATAGCAGGTCAGAGGCTATTTAGGTGGAGATTTGGTTGCAGCTGACTGCCAACAACCAACCGTTTTAGGCAGACACTGCAGGTGCTGGCAGAGGCGGAAGATTCAGGCTCAGTTGCAGCTGTCTGCCAATATCTGCTGGTGGAGAATGTAACAGCAGATTAGTGGCAGAGGCTGGATATTTAGCTACAGCTGGCGGTGGAGGTTTGGTTGTAGCCCCTCAACCACAATCTGCAAGTGGAGGGTGCAACTGCAGGTTTGTGGCAGAGGCTGTTAAGATGGAATTAAGTTGCAGTTGTCTGCAAGCAGACTGCAGTTGGAGGCAAAAACCGCAGGTTGCTGGCAGAGGATTTTAGGTGGAGGCTGGCAGAGTCTGCAGGTGGTGCAACTGTGGTCGTTGGACATAGGTGGAGGTTTGGTTGAAGCTGTCTGCCAGCAACCTGCAGTTGGAGGCGGCATCAACAGGTCACTGGCAGAGGCTGTAGGTGAAGATTTGGCTGCAGCTGCCTGCCGGCAACCTGCAGTTGGAGGCAGCAACTGCAGGTGCAGGGAGAGGCAGAGGGTGGAGGCTCAGTTCCAGCTTTCTGCCAATATCTGCTGGTAGAGGCAGCAATAGGTTTGTGGTAGAGGTTATTTAGATGGAGGTTGGTCTCCAGCTATTTAGCACAATCTACAGGTGGAGGAAGCAAACGCAGGTTGCTGCAGAGGCTGAAAGTGGACGACTAAATAGCAGCTTTTTGCCAGAATATGCAGGTGGAAGCGGCACTTGCAGGATCTGACGGAGAGTCCACCGTGCGAACCATCTTCGTAAGGTGCTTTTGACACTTAAAATCACATAACTTTTGCTTATCTGCAATGTGATCTTAATTGAGGGTTTTTGAGTATTTAGCTCTTCTGTGGTGTCCCTGGCCGATACATTTAGTTGTGATTGGAAGAATGTGCTAATTATGTGAGCGATTGTTGACACAACGCACCTCAGCATTTCATCAACAACCTCGTGGTACAGCTGCTGGTATTCTTCCATTGGGAGGTTGAATATCTTCAGAGGCCCGTCGTGCAGTGGAGCAGTGGAGGGCTGGAGGCTGGGGGCCACACAGGAGACTCGGGGCAGGTCAGCAGGTGGGATGGTGGCTCTAGGCTTCTCCACCAAAGACCCTGAATGGTCACCAGCTGGGGAGGGCTGCACAGCGGGGACACAGTCCAACACCTCTGGATGGTCAGGGAGGGGACGGGCTCCGGAGGTGCGCTTCCTCTTCTGGTGAAGGTCTCCGGGAGCAGCAGAGGGCCGGCGCTTTCTCTTTAGAGTCGGCCCCTGGTCAGCAACACATCAAAGGGTGTGAGTGAACTTCATACTGAACAACACACTGTCACAGAGAAACCTCTGCATCACATGCACTGCAGAGAACCTTCACAGATTCTGTCCATTTTGAAGGATTTTTAAAATGCAATCTCTTTGCTTGTTTGTACACTGACTCACTCCGGGTCCTGAGGATTACATTGTGAACAGTTTGAAAGAACAAGTCTCACCTGCTTGTCCCTGCAGCATGAACACTGTCTCCAGGCTGAGGGCCTCGACGCGCTCTCTGCCTGGCGAGCAGAGGTTCTCCTTCCTGTCTGGTTGTCGGTCAGGAGAACGGGAACGTCACACTGCAACAACATAGACTTGTGTTGGAAGGAAGCTTTACAAGTACGGTGAAAGCAGAACGTTTCATTTCTCAATTCACTGTGAAAACCAACTGATATTTCCCCTAAAACACGGCTGATTATCACGTCACTTCTAGGGGTCTCAAGGTCTCAACGGTAAAACACAGAAAACATTGTTGACATTCAAAGGGTTCAAATCTCACATTTTCCATGATGAAAGTTACTTTAGTCGCTCTGGTCAGTCTCTGTGACTCTTTAGTTCTTGTAATGTCCACAGTAGAAGAGGCTGTTAGCAAGAAATCGTTGAGCTGAACTTGAGGAAACACTTTTTGTGACTGCTTGAGTGGTTGTTTATGTGCAAATGAGGATTCCATAGAATCATCGGAAGGACCATAGCAACCATGGAATCCTGCACGTCCATTTTGTGTCTGTGTGTTCTAATGTTTTATCCAACCATTTCTGAACATAGGAATGCATCCTCAGTCACAATGTCTGAACATGTTCTTTATATCATTATATATGGATATATTAATTGAGCTCTGCTGCAGGTCCATGCAATAATTAGATAATAAAGATATTATAACTAGTAACATATTTAATGTTAACCTGTTATTTTATAAGCGTTAATGTGTTTACAGGAAGAAGTTGTTGGATACTAGTAATTGTTTTTTAATTTACCGAGTTCAGGGGGTCAGTGAAGGTCTCATGACATGTGAAGCTGTGGAACCTGTCAATCATCCTAGCTACCCATGGGGGCGGGTACAAGTGAGGGTATGTGGGGTTTGCAGAGACAGTGAGGAGGGATGTTTGTCAATGATCTGCTCGTAGTCGAAGTCAGTCTATGATAATATATGATTAATTATAACTATAATAATCTAGATTGCTTATCTATTGCTTATCAAATCAGCCCAAACGTTTCTTCAAATGAATTATATGTGATGTGCAAGCTGTTGGTTTGGACTGCTGACATTTTTTGTATGAGCTCTTCCATAAGATGATATAGTTTGTTAAATGTCATTGTAACAAAGGGAATCGTTTTGGTCTGTGGCTGCTATCAGTCCAATGACGCGCTATGAGCTCATGTACGAGCGAGATCTTCATCTTTATTCCTATTTCATTAGAATCACAAATAACGTTTTAAATCAGCTATGCATAATAGTGTTTTTTTTTATGGGAACGTGGAGGTAGCAGATACATAAACATGCACTGAGGGGAAGACCGGGGGGCAAACTCTCTCTCTGGTTCCCTCAACAGGTTGATGTGACCATGACTGCATGTGCTTCATACAGATCATCTTTAGTCCAACGACTTTTTATTAAACAAACAATTAGACAATTATGTTTGTCTTACGTCCCTTCAATTGGTTCTCAGAAATATCTATTGACATCATAGTGTTTGTATGTGGGTCATTTGAACACTTTATTTTTGGAGAATTAACTATATTATTTTGAATGGCACGTTTAATTTTGCATGTGATTTGTGGGATGTTAAATTGTTTTTGTGAGTTTTGAGATTTAACTGAAGTGATTTACACTAGTAAAGGTTACTGGACTGATGTACACGGCTAACAACCTGCTGTGGCCACCATGCAAGTGTATGAAAAAGAGCAAATATTGAATAAGGTAATGAATCATTTGTACGGTAATGAATCAAGCATTTATGGAAACTTGTAATACAATGTAGTGATGTAGATAAAGTGCAACCCCAAAAATACAACCACCAGTATAATTTGAATAATGCTATACAATATTAACCACTTTAAATGACAGAAGCTATCTTTTCAATCCAGTTCTATGTTAGACCTTGTGTTTCTGGAGTTATCAGAAAACCACTTAAGTGCTCAAGAAATGGCCACATGGTGCTGCTAATACATCAACTATTCACATGTGCCCTCACTGGTGCTGACCTTTCCTCCTCTTAGCTGGAAAATGATGTTTACATATTTCATCAATTCTGCAAGAATCAAGCTTTGTGTATGTACATTGTGAAAATAGTTTGAGCTGGTAGAAAGCAGACGCATCATTCATGCTGATTATTATTTACTGCTAAAGCATATGTGGGTTTCTGTTAAGTAAAGGCCTCTAGAAAGGTTGGAGGATATTTTCAGTTCAACTTTTTAATTACATTTCCACCCAAAATAAAAAAAAAAAAATATATATATATATATATATAATACTATAGCGGTACATTTGATTGAAAAGTCAAAACTAATGTCGGAAACTAGAAGTGACTGTAATTCAGATTGAAGAGATTATTATTATCTAACAGTAACTTTATATAGTGTATATAGACTATAATACATAAAAACCGGATTCATAGAAAATAGTTATACGTATATAATATATATATAGTGTATATATTGAAATGCAAAAAATACCACGGTCATGAGTTATTTCTTTATTTATTATTATTAAAATATTATGAAATGATTCACTTCAATTCAAAAATAAACATGAGAACACGTACATACAAATCCGGTGGCAGTTAAAACAAGAGACATTCAGTCGTGTTCAGTTAGCCTTGTAAACTGTCTGTTAATCCCAACGGCCGGTTAAAATTCCACAGTGCTCGTTATGAAGGTGTTTGACCTCATTAATCTCAATCGTGTGGCTGTTTTTCCCTTCGGAGGCATCAGTTGTGGCAACTAACGTAACAGTATGACATGATATCCAAAAGTATTTCATTTATTTCTTAAACTATGTTTGAGGCATTAAAGTCTGCTAGAAGAAAACTGCTTAATTCACATGCTTTGGACTTTTGTACAGCTTTACCAACCGTCGCCAATCCGCTGGTATGAATTAGCCTTCTACCCACAACTTGGATTGGCACCACAACATCGATATAGAACATGAAGCAATTAAAAGATAAATTAGTATTGTGTCACAGAATCTATCCTGTGTATCCAAACTCAGATGTTGGAGGTGTTTTACTATGGAGGTGCACGTTTACTGCTTTTGAGAAAAGTGGCATTGCGCTCCAGAGTCACGGCCCTGCGGCCAGGCGCCTGGTTCAGTTCGCTCATATCCACGCCGGAGTCTAAGCTGGTCTCCCGACTCTCAACCGGCCTTCGCCGCCTCTGCTGCTCTGACACTGCGTACCGGATCTCAGCTGCGGGTTTGCCCTCCAGTGATACGAACCAGGCTCGGGGAGCCTGAGTCGAGGGGCTTTTAGAGAGTTCTGCGAAGGCACGCACAGAGTGTCTGCCGCCGCCCCTCATTTTATTCAACGTCCCCGGGACGGATGCGGACTCCGTCAGGCAGAAGTGCTCTCTGGAGGCGCTGGCCGGAGTTTCCGACTGATTGCTCTCCAGAACCCCGAGCTGGTCCTCATTTTCCGCGGCCTGGTTCTGGGTAGCCGACGGCCCTTCTGGCGGAGTCTGCGTGACACCGCCTTGACTGTGCGGCTCAGCGGCGGACCCCACACGGGGAAGAGTGGCCGACTTGCTCCACTGGGGCTGCTCCTCCAAGTGGAAGAATGCTGGAGCGGGAAAGATGGCGACAGGCTCGTTATAGAAGAACAAGTTCTCCGTCAGAGGGGCCGGATCTCGGGACTGATCCGTGGCTTTGTGCGAACACAGATCGATCAGGTCAGGGTTATTTTCCACTTCGCTACGTTCCACCCCGATGGCCACAGCATTGAGGTTGGCGATTACATTGGGGTAGTCCCGATTATCCCCCCGTTCAGCAAATGGATGGTTCAGTCCACCCTGTAGAGAAGAGTCCGATGAAGATACTTCATGGACTCCACCGTCGCATGTTAGAGTGGTTTGGTCTTTTCTCATCACTGGTCGAATCTTTGTTTTAGTTTCACTGGGCGAAGGTCTGTAGACAGAAAATTGTGTCTCAATCAGTGCCGTGCCACCGGAACACACAACACAGTAAAAATACAGACCTCATAAGCATTAAACTTGAGAGAATAATGGATAATACTGATATATTTCAAGCAATACTCAGTAACGTTACCACAAGTTATACTGAATACTGAATGGACGTATCCGATGAAAGCCTCTGTTACCTGCGATAAAACAACAACCCGACGAGGAGACAGGTGGCAATAACAAGCATTCCTCCAAGGACAAACATCAGGAGAGATGAATGGTGTGAGATGAAGTCAATGGGGACGGCCATTCCAAAAAAACCTAAAAACATATAGATTGAGTGGTAAGGTAAAGAGGTTTGGATTAAATATATCACACGCATGCAATAAAGGTGATAAAAAAGAAGTTGCATTTGTACAAAGACCATTTAATAAACATTATATTTAGCTTTTCCCCACTGGCTTAGGCTATTATCCAGTCAATTAATTTTTCTGAATTTTAGAAGAAAACGCCTTCATAGTCATATATAGTTTGCTCCAAAAAAACTCCATCTATCCATCCTCAAAGACGTCACTCGGAGAGAACACACGAGGAGAACATGCAGACTCCACGCAGAAAGGCCGCTGCGTGGAGTCAAACCCAGGACCTTCTTGCTGTGAGGCGACAGTGCAAACCACCACACCACCGTGCTCCATCTACATTCACTACCTTCAGAACCACCATCCCAAAATTAATACCCACCATCCCCAATACCTGTCTGACACATTGATTTGTTACCCTAATGTTTCCATGTATCAGTGGAATACCACCTGGTTGGTAGTATCACACTGAGAACTTGCCTCTGGTGGATGACAAAGGCGCTGCTATCCAGTAACCAAGATGAGGAGCTGTGAACGTCCACATTAGTCTTCCTTTTACTGACACCACTGTCCCAAGGCCCTTTCTCATCCATCCACCTGTGAAAAACAAACAGAAAACAAATTGGCACTATTTGTACACCATCGTATTTTCCCACAACTACCACAATACTTGAAGAGCTTGAATGTGCTCATTCCCTTTCAAATTGTTAATAAGAAGGAAAAGTGATGAAACAGTATTAGTCAAATTAATTCATATCTGATGTGGACCCAGATTGAACACTTTCTTGACCATAGTTTAGTAGTTTCTTTTCCTGGATAAAAAAAACAATAAACTTATAGCTGCAGTTTACACAGAATTCATTAATATTAAATTAACTAAATAATTATAATTGTTAAAGTTCATATTAATAATTGGGAAAGGTTACAAAGTCAGACAATGAATCTTTGATCTTGATTTGATTTTTTATACAATAAATAACTTCACATAAACAAAGGGTATCCTATTCACTTCTTTGCATTGGGACTTTGCAAGACAACTCTTCATTTACAGTATATTCAGACATGATAAAGTACACTGTCACAGTCTTTTATTTTACAGCTAAATAGCATGCAACATTTTGTCCACGCAAAGCACAATCTTGATCATATTTGATCATTGCAGGATTTAAGAACTTCACAAACAGTCAATGTATGCAGCTGAAATCAATATTGTCAATGATGATCTGCCTCATACTACAGACAGGATATTTTGACAGTTTTTTTCATGAGCTTTAAGCTGGTCGTGGAGTGGGAACTGAGAGATGACAACAAGAAAGACCTGTTCTGCATCCGGTTCCCAGTTCAGATTGTAAACTGAGTTGGCCAAAGTACTTTTGATATTTTTAAGTTCCCTGTACCTGAAACCATAAAGTCATCCTCACTATCCAGACGCTTCTTAGTTTGTGTGACCGGGACTCCTACTCACCTGTGGTCCGGTTGAGGAACCACGCTGGAACAACATTGGAAGTCTGAAGTCCACAGCTGTCTGGGATGCTGAGGCTGATCTGTATGGGCCCGCTCACATGAAGCTCCGAGGCTCCTGAGAAAAGCTGCACACTGACAGCCGCAACGGGACTCAACTCCACATTGACGTATCCTTGAGAAACAGGGGAGGCAAAGCTGAAGAGAATGCGTTGACTAAATTAAATATTCATGAGAAAAAAACTTTTGATTGACTGGTTCCCGTGTAAGATTGTTACAATTTGAATCTGTTTTTACAGCCTTGTTTTGATTTCTTATGTAAAATTAGTATGTTATTGGGTAATGCTCCGCACAATTGCATGTTGACACATTAATTGCTATTTAATTTATTGATACAGGCCAATCATTTTTTGAATAACTGTTATTTCGGAACTTAATTAGCAACTAGCGCTGAATGCAGATACAGACACACCAAGTGTGTGGTGTTGATCAGGATTGGCTCACGGATAATCCCCCCTGGTCCCTAAATGTACTGTTCAATATACACTTTTAATTAATCATTTAATCTTGCAATTAATCAGAATTATTTGCACAAAATCACCCGATTAATTGTAATGAACTATAATTTGCATACCGTCTACAGTTTTATGACAGATACATATATTTCGTAATACTGTCCCTGCATACCTGATTTACTCCTCATGATACCCAATGTGTGAAGAAAGCTGTCCTCCTCCGACGGCAGCTTGGGGAGGGTCAGGTAGGCTTTGACAGAAGTGGCATTACTGCTGTCAGTGAGATTCAGCAGGCTCTTGGGAAACTGGACAATAGGCTGAGATGTAGCATCTTCAAATAAAAGAAAAAATGATAAATAACAGCTGGAAATGTGTGTCTGTAACTATCCCTTTGAGTTAAAAAAATAATATAAATTTATAATAGAATAATAAATAAATTTAAGAAAATATATACTACCAGATGTTTTTCCAGTGATCAGGACTGAATCATTGAAGAGCCAGATGTTTCCCGGATTCAGACCAAGCAGTGACATGGTGACGGAGGAAAATACTACAGCAATGACAAAAGAAGAAGGGCCAAATGAAAAATTAGCAAATAGTTCTTCCTCTAAAAAAGTGAGGGTTTCCCACTAGATGGCAGTGTGACATTGTGCTACATCAACCTACTCAAGGCTCAAGTTTTTTTACAAAAAGAATATAACAGGGAACTTAAATGTAATTGAGAACAAGGCTGTGCTGGATGCACCTAACGTTAGTTGTCTGCAAAAAATGTGAACATAAAACGTGTGGTTTTTGAACGTCTTTGTCTTTACTGAGCATATCGATTCTCTCAAAAAACACTAATACCAGAAGCTCAGTGGCTTTTTCCTTTAGAAGTGTGGGGGGAGGGGGGGTGATCAATACAATATCTTATCCAATTCATGTTTTTAGTCCCAAATTAAGCAGCTGTGTTCGCTTAGACCCGTTATTGACTCTTTTAGGTATCTCAAAAGTCTGAGACCTTTTTGAGATACCAAACTACAAATATCTGATAACAGGAAGACAGTTTGGCTCAAACGCATTGCCCTTGTGGCTGGATTAGGTAGGTTAAGGCGTGAGGATTTAAGGTGGTTGGGGTTAGGGTAAGAATAGCGGGGTGACCAATCAGGGTAACGCGTAAGGGGCAGGCCGGGTTATGGCCAAGTAGGAAACTACAATGACGGAGCAGAACGACAGTGTCATGAAAATGTGTCTTGTGTATTTTTGTTATATTTTTGTTCAAAACTATCCTGGTTTGTTTTTTTTGGAACCACAGCCTGTTGTAGAGGTTTCAGTGAACTGAGATCAACGGGAACTATTTAGTTTTTAAAATGATCAAATAACAACTTCAGAAAATCACTCATGTATTTGAAACTATATTTCTATGATTGTATTTTTACATGGCACTGTTTCAAGTATCCTCATTTAGAAAAACGCCTGCATTCTATCCTTAAGTGCAGATTGTGTATAAAGATCCACGTAAAGTGACTTTGTGTATTTAACAAATACAAACAGCCGAATGTTTGGAGATAAAGAATGATTTGCCACAAGCAGTCTATCCACTCACTGGACATTTTTAAGCCGTACTAAAAACAATGAAAGCATTGACACTGACAACAAACACTGACATTTCTAGAATTGTTAGATATCCATGATGAATGAAAGAAAATTACACTACATGAAACTAATTATTCCTGGTGATTCAGCCAAACAATTTCCCCATTTCAGCACAACCACATGTTAAATATCTTACTTGGCATTCTGTTGGTTTTACAAGGCAGCAGTGTGCAAATAAAGCCATCCTTGCTAGCCACGAGTGTGATGGGCATCCCGGTTTGGAAGGGTACATGGAGCAAGATACCGCCGTCCTCCCCAGTGAGAGCCGCGTTGGTCCTGGTGTAGTTAACGTAGATCTCCACCAGCGCCTGGCTCAAGTACTGACGACTCATCACGTTGTTGACCTGGACCTTCAGGTCAAAAGCAGAATCTGGGGCAAAAATAAACATGGGTTTAAGAACAAAGATGGATTCCAGATGGCAATAGTCCTGCTTTTAGAAGTAAATTCCACCTCTGATACTCTCTTGCGTGCAGTGTGGACTGAATGCAAAGTAATTGTTACCATAGGTGTCCCTGTTATTTTGTACAGCCCTTTCATGCAGTGCAACTGTATGCTTTAACAGAATTGAGTTTCCTGTGTTTCCAATTAACCTAGAAGGGACCTTATTAACAGCACAATAGGAACGGTAATATGCAGAATCCCTGGAGACATCAATCAATTAATCCCAGGAGATTTTACAGAGGTGAACACAAAGAGAAATTGTAAGATTGGCCAATTAGTGAGCAAGGCAAGACAACATTATGCTACATCAGCATGCAAATGGTAACAACAGTGCCTCTATTCAATAACATGATTCATTGCGAGGCTTTAATCGTTACATATTTCTAAGTAGCTCCCAGATGATCCTATTTAGGGTCTAGTGAATATGTGTCAGCGCAACAACAAACCCAATCAGCCACATTCATACTGCGTACCCAATAGTGAGTCCACGAGAAAAAAATACCTTATTTCTGAGACTAATGTGTTGTGTTGCATAACGATGAAGGCTCAGTGATGCATCAGTTGCCCAATCGAATGAATGGTGGTCATGGAAACACAAACATCCCACGAGTGAACAGTCTGTGCAAGGCTGTTTTCACACACCTTGCCTAACAAATACAATGTAAATGTCACGGTGTGGTTCACTTCATGTTATATTTTGTAGTTTTCTGCCAATCGTGTCCCCGGGTAACTTCACTTCCTGCCTTGTCCCGTCATCCCCTGTGATCGTCTTAATAGTTTACACCTGTGTCCAATCACCTGCACCTCCCTAGTGTATTTAAACCATGTGTGTCTGTTGTCACTTGTCGTGTCATTGTCTTTCGCCATGCTTGTTCTTGTCTTTCGTCTTGGATGTCCGTAGTTTCTTGCCTGTGTGCTTTTGCCCCCGGTTCCTGTGTTTTTTGACCTTTTGACTATTAAAGTCTTTTGTTTCGGTGAAGTCTGCATTTGAGTCCTGCCTTCCACCCGCACCCCTGACAGTAAATTGGTTAGTCGCCCATGGGAGTTAACGTTGACACTACCCTACTGGAGGACCAAATGTATGATTGCATCGAGAACTTATCAAAAAAGTCCCTACATGTAGAGTTACAGAAGTCAGCTGATTAGCCAAAGAATCCTCCTTCACATTTTGCATTTTGTGCACTGAAGAGCTGGAGAGTTTTGGGAGCTTGTTATCGACCCTTCACAGCTACAGCATCTTAGTTATTTTACACTAGTAGGCCATAGAAATGTCATTTTTTATTAGCAGCTAAATGCTGCAACAGAGCTATTGCAGCAATCTCAATGGCGCATAATGTAGAACAGTCTTTTTGTAGTTGTGGCAATTAGACATGAATGCAGGTCCTATTGCTCTTAATCCGTCATGTTACCTTCTGTTACCAGCGTTTACAATATTTCAGCAGGTGCCATAGCCACATCAGCAGGTCGCCCCACATCATTGCCTCAAACGATTCCCTTTAAAAAGGAGCAGACAAACTCCCGGAGCTAACGTGCATGCGAGGAGCTGGGACACTTTCAGACAGAAATCGCCCACAGTTTCAGCAAAAATCTATTTGGATATGTTGGATGAAGGTCGTGTTTTGGGTTGAAATAAACCACTTCTGGCATAAAGAGAAAGACTTATTCTGTCGTGTGTAGCTGTGTTTGGAAGCCCAATTCAGTCCCAAGGATAAAATAATAAATCCTGTGGGTCATTATTATTGAGTATTGAGTGAGCAAAGCGTTGGAGAAAGACTTATTCTGTCGTGTGTAGCAAAATAATGACTAAGTAGTAAAAGATAAAGACATTTTTTAATACATTGACTTGGTAGCTCAAAATTATGACATTTATCTCAAAATAATTAGCTATTACTCATTATGACGTACCATCTGAGAATAAGGACGCAGCAGCTCAAAATATGACGGAGCATTCCACAATAACTACTTAGTAACTCAAAATAATGACTGTGCGTCACAATAAAGTACCTTATCTAAAGATAGTTTGACTGAAATGATGACAGAATGTCTAAATAATAACATAAAATCTTAAAATGATGACAGCATCTCACCATAATGACTTGGAAAAAAATGACTGAGCATCTCACAAATAATACTTGAAAAAGAATGAGAATATAATCAGTGGTGCTTCCATATTCTTGTTTCTGTTGCTTTGGTGTACATGCACTGTAACAAATTGCTGTAAATTTACGGTGCATTTCTAACAGTATCTTACAGTATGTCATAATAACTGTAACATACAGTTAAGTTTCCATCTCTTGCTTGTAAAATAACGGCCAATGTCATGAATAAACAGTTAAAGCTGTCAATTTACAATAATAGTAGACTACCGTAATTCAACTGCATGTTACATATATTTTATGAAGTGGTGGAAATACACATAGCCTACAAGTGCAGTGAATCACAATCCATCTACATATTTTGTAGGTTAATGTATGGAAGCCCACGTCAGCCACTGAAAAACAGGTCCTGTAAGTCATCATAATGAGTAGCTCATGTGATATAATGATGACTTTGACTTACAGGACATTACTATACATGCGGCTGTCTCTTTTATCCAAAATGCCCACAGGTTTGACATAATTTTATGTGGAGTAATTGGGGGTTAGGTGTCTTGCTGTCACTGAGCAACTTGGCACAGGGAGCAGCCAGGATTCAAACCGCCAACCTTGTGCTGCACAGCACACCCTCCCTATCCCATGCGCCACCTTCGCCGTCGTTTCAGTGGTCGGAATGTAAAGATTATAAATAATTGTATTATTTGTAATTATTTGTAAGTGTTCATTGCCTAAAAGTCATTTGAGTGTTAATCGTGACCGACTGCTCCTGAACGTGACGTCAGACGTGTAATCTCAGTTCATCCAGAACACCTGTGCAGTTCAACATCGGAGGAGTTTCTCATTGCCTCGTCTCTCCAAGTAACGTTGGTAAGTGTTACTTGCCTAGCATGATTAACATTCTCCTTCCTTACATCTTGTTGTTTTCCTCAACTTTGTAATTTTAATATTTTACCAATGACAGAGTTTCTAAATAATTCATTTTGGTTTGTTTTACAGAGGGATAAGGACGCCAGCCGTTCGCCGCGGTCAATTGAAAGTGTTCCATAGCGTATTGCTGCAGTTAGTTTACCTTGTTCCTAATGATTTTATGATTCATTTTTTTATTATTGTATACATGCAGCATATTTTATGTTTTGTTCTTGGTTACAAATGCCTACCATTTTTGTCTTAAAGGCATCTAATAAACTCCAACCACTATGACCGAAATGAGTTTGGTTGTCTTTCTTAAATTTGTGGGGAATTAAATGCAAGTATACGGTTATAAGTAAACGGTAACTTTCTGGTATTTAGAACACAAAAACAGTAATCGTATGGTAACAAACTAATCCAATATACGACAACATACCGTAAATTACGGTAGGGCACTGTAAATAAAACAGTAGGTTACTAGCCTCAACTGCCAGTAAATTGCAGCTAATTCACAGTAAAATTTGTTCAAGTTTACGGTAACATACAGTAATCCATTTTACGGCAACATAGTGTAAAAACCATTTACGGTATTATACCGTAGAATAGCGGTAAATTCCTGGAGTCCTTGCTGCCAGTAAAATACCGTTAATTTACGGTGAAATTTAGATTTACCTAAATGTAATGAATCATGAATAATGTGTTGCTATTTTTAGACGGCTTGACTTTTTTCTTCATCACACATTGGTCTTCCACACAGGAGTGCCTGTATTTTCCTCCTCAGAATAAAACCCTACATTTGGCAGAGTCAGCGTCCACCCACTGGGATACATCCACCCGTGCAGATGGACAAGAGGCTGCTTGTTTAGGGGGAGGGAGCCTCCGCTTCATGTGTGCTCTGCGGTAGTGGTCCAACATAACAGGAGGGGGTCACTAGATCCGAAGTGGAGGTGTTTCGTGCCAGATTACTATAATCTACCCATTTGGCGCACTGAACCCGGCGCAAAGAGGTTTATGAAGTGGATAGAAAAATAGGCCGTCTGAGCCCGCTGTGGCAGATGACAGACAGATCCCACGTGGTGTGTGTGTGTGTGATATTGCTTGAATATTGTCATTACCGAGCACCGTGTCCAATTTGGGAAATTTAAGAAAGACATTTTCATCCATAGCGCAAGGAAGAGATTTCCACGGAAGAAAACTAAATTGTGAACGCGGCGAAAATTGGACTGACATTCTATTGTTATAGAAGAAGACTAATTTGGGCTTCTGCTGACGTATCAAGTAAAAGGCGCAAACATGTTGACTGGTCAATTCAGACCCCCAGGCAGCGTAAACAGATGGTCCAACGGGGACTTATCTCTGCTGCCTCCCCCACCTCCTCCCAACCCTCCCAACGTACATGCTTGTTGGTGTGCACGTGCTGGAATTGGGCCATACATTCCACCGATGGAGGAAAACACAAGCGCACCCTTTTACATTTGGGCCAAATCTCCCCCAGGCACGAGTCAGCAATGTCAAACTGAACTGACACAAATTGAAGAGAAAAGATGCTTAGGGCAAAGCTGGGGGGGGGGTGGGCAAAGTCCGAACAACCACACGAAATGTTGTCAAATGACTACAACCCCCCCCCCCTGCGGAGAATGGTTAGATCTTTTAATCTGATGCTTTGCCCACCATGAAGGGACAACAGGGAATTTAACAATGGGTGACATAAGGAGTCTTTTTGTGTATATTTGTGCACCTACGTTTCCTCTTTCTGTTTAGAATTAGAAGTTGTGAGTTGGCAGCCCTCCTCCAGAGCGAAGGACGGCTAAGAGGAGAAGGCTTGTAGGACACAACACATGTCTGCGAGGGAGGGGGGTGCAAGTGACAGCAGCTCGCTTGGGTGCATTTCCAAGTGTTTTCGGCCATCGAAGCGGACCCGAGGATCATGTGATGACGGATGGTAATGTGCTCCCACGGCGGCATGAATTAGTCATGAATCAGTTGATGAAAGGGATCTCAAATCCCTCTTTCAGCTCCGCTGCTGTGAGTGTGTGTGTGTGTGTGTGTGTGTGTGTGTGTGTGTGTGTGTGTAAGAGAGTGATGCAGTGAGGCGCACTTTGCATTCAGCCGTTTAGATTTGTAGCCACGTGACACAAACACTTGATTCAAATCGCAAAGTTATGCAGAATTAGTTTATAACACTTTGAATCAATATATTTTCTTTCTTCTTTTTTGTTTTCCTTTTTGAGTCTTTTGCCAACCCCCTTTACAAGGTTACAGCCGTTATAATACACGCATAATGCTGATATGAACTGATGGGCTGCTGTTTGACCGGTGGAGATGCAGAAAAGGGGACAGATGGGAGAAACCGTCCCTCAGGAGGGGACAGCAGCGCCATCATCACATTACTCATGATCTGATCAGCAGATCTGAACAGATGGTCCGGGCCGACTAAAGTCTTTAATATGTACGTTAAAGCCTGTAATAGGATGGTTGATGGAGTAAAAAAAAGAATTCTCCATCTAACGTTACATTGTGATTTATTGTGTGTCTTTTATCAAAGACGTCAAGCACACGTTTATGCCTCTAACTGACTATCACTAACGTCACCGTTAAAGTCACTGAAGGCCACACAAACCTGACGTGGCGTCCGGTGCTCGGTGCCGCAGCGGCTCTTGTCTCGCGTGATCCCGGTCGCCGTCATTGGCGTGCGGAGCGCGTCCGCTCGCCGTGAACTCTCCGGCCGCGTTCGCGTCCCCGCATGAAAGCAGCGCGCAGAGGAGGGCGAGTAACGGGCGCATGACTCCGGGCGGGCGGGGTGAATGAAATAAACAACAACGGGAAAAAGTTGCAGTTCGCAGTGACTTTTCATCCGTCACCGGGGCATGTTGCATCCAACGCTAGTTTGTAACTTGTTCACGAACAAGTGACGCCCGCTGCGCCGCCATCCTGACGGCTCTGCGTCACACGGCGCGTCACGCGCTGCTCGCAGGCTCCGCCCCCTCGAGCTGCTGACGTTCAGACTCAGTATTTGCTTTCTCACTTTCAGGAACAAAAACTAAATGACAAGGTGTTTTACATAAGTAAACGAACACATGCACGTTAAGATGCGTACTACTAAGTAGTAGTAGTAATAGTTCTACGACTAATAATCTTATGATACATGCATGTGTATTATGAGAGCCAGAAAGACAAAGAGCCTAACGCCTAGTATCTTCTCATGTATCTTCAATGCAGCTCATTCTCAAAAACACACACACTTGCATCAGCATATTTCTAGCTCTAGATGGGGGTAACGCAATGCTTTATCAGTTGAAACACTGATTATCCCTTACATCTGTGAACATTTCTGGTGAACATTGTGATAATAACTGGTGCTGGACCTCAGTCTGCCCTACATTATGACTGTACGTGTGTGGTCAAATGTGTTGGTGGTAGTGAATGAAGCCTCAGGGGCACTGCTATGTCAGTGTTAACAGTTGAGTTAGCCCCAGGTCTAATACATTAATTTATTGAATATTTAACATTCAACATGTTCTCTTTTTTTCTACCTCTCTTTTCACATAATGTTCCAATCACAAAATTTGTCCCCACTATTTTCTGCAGACAGCAAAGCGCCACGGAAGCAATGCACCACGCTTTGCAGGCAACTGTTTTCCACTACAAGGCCTTCATGTCGTCTATTTTCAGAAATGCCGGTAGCTAGAAAAACAGTTAAATGGAGTGCGTAATAGAGTAGTGGGTCTTTTTCTACTGTTTGGTGCACTGGACCTGAATGTCCATACTAAATCTTTGGAGTTTACACTTTTCTCATACAGTTTTTTTGCTTTGTCTTAATGTCATTGTCAACATTTAGTGAAGGCTTGAGGGCAAAGACCTTAATTCCTAACTCTCCACTTCCTGTCTATAATTATACGTTTAGATATTTCCTCATTCAGTGATTTGATTTGTACAGAAAGCAACAACATCTCACATGTATTCAATATAGGTACTTTGTGACTGTGACCACAGCATATGATTTACATTCATTTAAAATTCATCAAACTATTCAGCCACCTTGTAGAATTTACATTCATTATGTTTCCCGACTCTTTCATTATGTTCCTTTTTCTTTCATTGGTCACCTGACAGTTCATACGTTGAACCCTCTGCATAGACTCAAAGTGTAAAGTTTGATATAATGCAAACAAATCATCAGCGGGGCAAGTGACACTTGATCTCTGATGATTACAAAGCCTTAACTGTGTTTTTGCCCACATTCAGAAAATGCATGGACTGTGGGCTCCTGGATTTAGGTGAAACCTTGATAACAATTCATGATTGATTTCAACACGCGAGTCCTGATCTCGTTCTCCTAGTGTACGAACAGTGACCCCATTTAAAAAAAGACTGCGACATTACTTTGTATAACGTACTTCGTGTGGTTTATATTTTTCAACCAGTGAACCTTCCAACAAAATACATGTTTACTCTCCTGGCTGCTCTGTGTTGTCGTCTGCTAATCTTTGACAGTGACTCACTGTCGGCTCTCGAGGCACAAGTGGTACGACAAGACAGGACGACGAGCTCAATTCATCAAATGTCTCTAACCGAATTACATTTTTTTTACCGGTTTGCCGTGACATGATAATGCTCTATAGATAAAACAGAAAAACACGTGTATTTTTACAATCAACATCAATGTCAGCAGTGAAATTACCCTGACCTGTTTTTCTATTTTTATATATATATAATGAGTTTTTAGACACAAATAATAACCTTATAGAGTACATGCCTCTCCCATATTTGATATGGTATATTTCAATGGCAAAGGTCATAAGGTTACTGAAAGTTATACAGGTCTTCCTTTTACAGAGATATGAAACCTTCTTTGCTAGTTCATATATTAATGACCTGTTGGTCAAAGCTTAACAGATGAAAAGACTGAAGCAGAAAGAAATATATTATCCTCTTGACATTGCATAAGTGTTTAGCTTTTTAGCAATATAAAGTACATGTCTTAAAGTACTTGTTTCGACCAATCTTTATGCTGATAGGTGCCAGTTGAGGTCTGCAGCTGGTGGTTTGGAGTAAATGCACGACTTTGCAGCTGTGCTCTATTTGAAAATACCAGGGAGAGACCCGAGGCAACCGACTGACGTGAGGGTTTAAGACAGGAAACGTGCTAAAATGATGGACAATTTCACACGGCGAATGAGACCTTGCCCGGAGAAACAGGCGCATGACTTGCCACTAATAATGATAGCATGGATTTTAGAGGTGTACTCACATGCCCTGGAATATTATTGTAAGAGTAAAAATACTATAAAAAAACTTTAGAAAACGGGACAAAAGGCGATTTATTGGGCGACTCTCTCTACGGTGGAGACTGCAGGACGTTCCATCAGTACTCAACTGGTCCACCATCATTGAAGCATTCTTCTTCTCACATTCGTAGTAAGAACGGTGATATTGGACGGAATATTGAATATTGACACCTTATAGATTTTTGCGCGTGTGTTTATGAGAAATACAAAGCTGTTTTTTTCTTTAATTAATGTCTGAAAGCTGTCTTTCTCTTGACTTTGCGCGTGCTCCACCTCAAATGGTGGAATGAAGGAATGTCTGCTGACACTATGCCTGACTGCCACGGAGGAGGCGCGTGAAAAAGCCGAGCTCTACGGCTACAACCATGACCACCTCCTGTTCTGTAACACGTGAACGTTGCACGACTGTTTGCCAATGTGAGGGCTGTCCGGGTGGAGAGGAGACATGCAAGGATGCCGATTCCTTCTCCGACAGCACTTCATTTGGGGGTTGATTTAGAATGTATATCTATTTGGATTTAAAAGGACCAGTGTGTAGGATTCAATTAGCAATTAGCACTTAGCTTGCAGATTGCGGACTGGTATACTTACCTCTCACGTTCCAGAACTATGCAGGCTTTCAGGTGGATAACATAAAAAAGGCCCTTTATAGGGTCAGTGTTTGGATCCTCTGTTCTGGGCTACTGTAAGAACATGGCAAACTCCATATTGAAAACCCATTGCTTCTAAATGTACAACTACAGGATTGTTGAATATTCAATAAACTCTAATTTCCGCCAAAGTCCAACACACTGGTCTTTAAATTAACTTTAAAGAAGTACTCCATTTATCAGATGAGTAGAATTTAAACAGCACTGCAGAAAATGAATATATATCTCTTCCCTCTGGAGCTTTGAGAATTGAGCTGAAACCTCTCAGAAATGCTCATCCTCCCTTTGTAGCTAATCCTTACACCGCTGTCTCCAAAAATGAATGAATTTGCGCCGAAGCAAGCCTGAGGAATGAAACCCATCCCCAAAGGCCTTTGCTGATCAAAATTCCTGTTGGTTGTTTACCAAAGTATACATATGTAGGCCTACAGATACTTTTTTTCATGGCAGCAGAGATAAATGCAAACATTTTTCACACACTGCATTTGTTGTGTGAAATTAACTGGATGTGGGGATTAGGGGAGAAGAGGAGGACAACAGGACGTTAATTGATGTTGTTTATTCGTGCGCCGTCCGGACCGCTGTCCACTAGTCCAATTACATGAGTGCTAATACCGACCCCCTGCTCAGCGACCAAAATAACAGGGTTTAGAGCCTGCGTGCTTTCTGAGTGATTAATAGAGTTGGGCTGGAGAGTGTCAGCTGTTTGGGGGGTTTGGGGCTGGAGCACAGTCATTTTCAACCGAGCGCTGCTGTCTGGAGTGACGTGAGTCTAAGCATTCGCTTAATCAGCAACCTTTATAGAAATGCAATTTCTTTCTTTCTATAATTCTCGCACTATATGGCAAAGTCCTCCAGCGGGCCGAGCTGGACCCCCCGGCAGGCGGACTCTATTCTTCAACCCCTTCACAGGGCTTTTTCACTAGTTGGAATTCATTGTAACAATTCTGTTGCTTAGCTTCCCCCTGTTGTCTCTCTCCTGGTTTCTAAAAATACTTGATGGCAACAGCCAATAGCCAAGATGGCAACAGTCAAAATTATGACTTCGGTCTTCAAAGAGGAAGTTTACAAACCAAAGGCTGACCTCACAGTGACGACACAGATTTAGTCTAAGCTCTGTAGTTGAGTTACAAGTCTGTTGTATCAATCCACTACCTAGTGACACATAAGCTCAGGTTTCAGGAATACTGAGAAAACATACTGAGACCCAGACTTATTCATCAGGAGCCTCTGAACCAAATCAATACTAAAGCCCTTATTATCGGAGGTGGTCGCGTTATTAACGCTGTAAATGTGTCAAAAAGCCCCCGGATCCCCTTACACACTACTGGCATGAGTCTCCCTGTGATTGGTCTCTAAGCACCGTTGCATGTCAGTTTCAATCCTTAACATCAGTGGTGCAGTTAAAGTAGGTGTGCTTTAAAACTGTGCACTTTAAACGTATAAAGTATATTAAGGTACAAGTTCATCTTAGACGACTCCGGTTTCCTATCCTTATGCCGGTGACCCTTGTGGCAGTTCATACCTTTTTGATATGTAGCACCCCCCCCCCATCCTCTCCAAATTCTTCATTGAAGTGGATAGGGATATCCAAATCACCCGTTGCACACGCTGAATGACTCTTGGAAGTTGGCAGACATGGCGGATAAGTTACAAACAGCCATGGCATCATCAAGAAAAACTCTCCGTATTGTGTTTTACACACACAGTTAAGTTAAAATAGAGAGAGAGCACACCCATCAGCTCGCACAGCATGCAGTACATGCAGCATTTGCAGACACCTTGCAACAAATGCAAACCACTGCCCCTGAGCAATGTGGGCATTTGTTAATAAATCATAAAAGGGTTACGAACTGCCAATCCATGCTTCTTATTAAGAAACATGCTTTATTTAATGAATGAAGCACAATCTGTCGGCCCCTAGTCAACAACAAAAAAAAAAGTAACATTCAAAAGATGAGCATCAGAGCAGCAGAGCTGGGGCCCC